GGAAGGAAGGAAGGAAGGAAGGAAGGAAGGAAGGAAGGCCGTTAGCAGAGAAGACAAGAGAAAGGAGGGCCAGAGTGAACAAGAAAAGGAGAAGGGGGATTCCTTGAGTGTATGGCAGGTTACACCATACATAAATAAAGCTGACCCACTCACAGGACGACGCTGTGATGCACACAACACCCTCGTGCCTTGCTTGAGTTTCTTTCTAACCATGTCCGACACAGACCCTCGGTGTCCTACCCTTCTCCCCAGTTAAGCGAGCGATGGGAGGGTTACCTGGTTGCGAGGTGGGCCCCGCTGGCCCATGAGCCGGGATGGCCGGGGCGGGGGCGTCTGGATCCAGCGCCTGCCTCTCGCTGCACCTCTTGCTGTCCAGCCCACTGGTCAAGAGCTCGGGGGGGCTGTGCTTCCCGTTGATGGGCTCAAACTCTTGAACCTGAAGCCGGAAGAGACGGAGGAGGCACTGAGTAAAACGACGTAACATCTTAGCGGGATCCACAGGGCAGTGGCTGCAAATCCAGGGTAGGCTCATGTGGGTTCACTCTTTCCTGGTTTTTATGGGGTTGTGTGAACCCAACCCTTTCAAAAAACTTTATCTTCCCCTGTTGGAGACCATTTTATAGGCGAAAATGGGGTGAGGCTGTTTTGTGGCTCTGTATTTTTGGTGCACCAAGCGTTAAATCATAGCTCGTTTATTTCTTCAGCAAATTTAGTTTTATTTTATGCATTTATATATTTAGCACATTTATTTATTTTCACAGTATAGGAACGCAGCAGTGGGGTTTCATTCGTTTAGGTTAAGGTTCTAGCATGCTTTACAATCCTGGCAAAGGTGACTTGGAAAGATGTGGGGGGGGAACCGAAATGACATTCAAATTCACCACATCCTCAGCCATGACTTAGCAGTAGCAATAAAACATTCTTAATACTGAATATACGGAAGGCAAAGATTATTGAATATATTGCAAGTATAGATGGCTGGTTATTGAAAAAGTTGCAGACATAGTTTGTGGAAAATTGAACATACTGCAGGTCGTTGAATATTGACTCTACAGCCAGCAAAAGCTTTTTACTACCCTACTAGCAAAGTTTGATGAATATTGAATATTTTACAGGCAAAGACTGATGAATATTGAATATGTTACAGGCCAGGAGGGTTGATTATTGAATATTTGGCTGGCAAAACAGCGCCACAAAGAGCGGTGAATTTTTGTTCAGTATCAGTTGTACGTCAAGCTGATCTGATTATGTGGCTTAGGACACAACTGTTGTGGCATTTCTACACCAAGCCAGTTTTCCAGTGCAATCCTTGGATCAAAATCAGACCCCGAAACACACACGAAACACCTCCTTGATGGTAGAATCCCAACAAAAACGTGCGGCTTCTGGAAAGATGCAATTCCTCCGCGTTACTGCCTGCGTCCGACGTTGACGCACCAGCTTTGGATCGTGCAAAGGCCGTGTTGGGGCCCCTGGATTTTTCACCCCCGTCTCAGGAACCCCACGGGGGGGAGGCTCACCCACCTTTTTTCGGACCAGCGACATCACCCCGATGCGGGTCAGCACGTGCTGGCGGGGAAGGGCCTCGCGGGGGAGGCCATCGGGGAACGTTTTTTGCGCG